ATGTTTGAAGCCAGTTATAAATTTTTTGGGTCAACAAAACATAATCTCAAGTTCGTCTGCCATTGTAAAATTAGCTGCTGTACCATCAAATATACATGAATTAATTACCACTCCTGATTCATGTAAGTCCATTTATTGGAAAGTATCCAACAGGAGTTTTCCAAGAACCATTTATTTCTATATCAAGAAAAGGGAACCTACAATAAAAAATAACAATAAACTTTACAAAGATGCCATATTGAAATAAAGCCACAGGTTTTAATTTTATTTCTTTATGTCAATAAGTAAGTCATCTTTACTCTTGTATAGGTACATAATAAGGCAGATAAAGAAAATCTTAAACTTGTTATTGGAAATAACCTCGGAAATCGCATTTAAGATATTTTCATAGCTGACGATGCCTCTTTAATGTATTGACTGTCTTCATCTACATTATTTCTTTTCCTTCCTAATTTTGCCTTTGGTGTTTGTGTAGTTGGTAATTATGCAATTGGATTTTCTTGAATAGATTTACTACATGATGGAATTTCTACACTATTGTAATTTTCATTATCAATTTATGTCGCTTCTTCTATAAGCGTACCACTGTCAGATAATATATAAGTCCTTGTTACATCATCAAGTATATCTTCTGACATATCCGACTCAGATATTTGGGAATTTTCATTGAATTCGATCGAGTCAATGTTTTTTCTAGGTAAAACATGATCCATTATAAAAACCATCTACTCGTAATACCACAATGTTGGTTCATACACCTTAAATTTTTTTTAAAATTGAATAAAAAATAATAAATACTAACTAACCTCATCAGATCCTGCTCCATTCGACTTGGAATTTTCAATATTTCTGTTTTCTTTTAAAAACGTTTTTAAGTTGTTAAATTGGTTACATCGGGTTTTTTTCCTGTAATTTATTTTTAATCTCATTTAAAGATTTTATCTTTGCATGTTTATTTTTATATTGTTAATTTTTTACCGCATATTAACATGGATATTTTTGATATTGCTCAATAAGGAAAGCAACTTCACTTCTAGACCACGACATTACAAACATACAAACTTTAACCAAAGATTATCCTTTTATTTTTCTTTTAAACAACAATTTTCAATACACGCTAACAACTGTGCCACACCCAACAAAGGACAAACAATACCTACCACCATTTCTGTTGCATTCTACAATATATGACATTAGTCTTCCCTCAATCTTATAGGTTTTACAATTGTTCTACCAGATCTGATTCTGATGTTATCTTTCTCAACCAAATCCGTAGGAGTGTTTATGTCAGTTTTACTTTCAGTATGATATGCTGTTGTGCGAAGATGTGTTGAACCTATTAGCAGACTAAGACGGTTGAATAGGTGTGATTCAAACTGCCGCCCCTCGTCTGTGGTGATGTGCAGCGGGACGCCGAAATGTGCAACCCATCCTTCAAAGAATTTCCTTGAAACGGTTTCTGCTTCCATGTTCTCTATTGGAAATGCTTCTGGCCATCGTGTGAAACGATCTACACATGTCAGCATGTATCTAAATCTTTTCGACACTGGTAATGGTCCCACTAGATCTATATGTACATGTTCGAACCTTGTTGATGGCAGTGCAAATGAGCCCACCGGTGCCGATGCATGACGCGAAATCTTAAAGCGCTGACACTGTACACATGCGCGAGCCCATGTTCGACAGTCCGATTTTATGGAGGGCCATACGTAACGTTGCGTCACAAGCTTAACTAAAGCTTTTATTCCTGGATGTGACAACTGATGAAGAGAATTGAATGCTGCTTTGCGGAATTCTGGTGGTAAAAATGGTCGAGCTATCTGGGTTGATATGTCACAGTGCACTGCGATGTTTGTTTCTGGCATTTGAACCTTTTTAATGTAAGGCTAGAACCAGGACTTATGTATGTCCGCATTGTAGTATCCTCCAATTGAGACTCTGCTAGAGCGTTGAAATCTAACGTAGCAGCAAGTTCATTGATCCTTGAGAGGCAGTCTGCTACAACGTTGTCCTTTCCAGAAATGTATTTGATATCGGTGGTAAACTGCCCGATGAAATCTAAATGTCGGAATTGCCGAGGAGTCCATTTCTCAGGTTTCTGTTTGAAGGCGTAAGTAATCGGTTTATGATCCGTAAATATGGTAAACGAAGTAATTGACCGCTAGGTAAATGGCTAGGAGCTCTCGATCATAAGCGCCATATTTACGTACAGTTGGACTTAATTTTCGCGAGAAAAAACCAAGTGGTTGCCAGTGTCCATTAACCAGTTGTTGCAGTGGTATCTGATGCGTCTGTCACTAGTAAAAGTGTTGCCTCGGGATCCGGGAGTGCCAGTACTGCTGCTTGGGCCAGGCCGTGTTTGCACATGTCAAATGCTTTTTCTGAACTCCCATTCCATTTTAATATAGCCTTACCCTTTATGTTGCCGCTAAGAAGCTCATTGAGAGGAGCTTGAAATGCTGCCGCCCCTGGAATGAATCGTCTATATAAATTTAGCATTCCTAGAAAACGCCTTAGTTCTTTTGCAGTCTCGGCTTACTAAAATTATTAACTGCTTCAACCTTCTCCGGTAGAGGGCGCGAATCTTCGTCCGAAACGTGGTAGCCGAGAAATTTTAATTGTTCAACTCCAAACACGCACTTAGAAGGATTAACAAGTACTCCATATTTTTTGAGACGATTGAAAATTAATTCTAGGTGTTTCATGTGTTCTTCTTTCGAAGAAGATGCTACCAGAATGTCGTCTATGTAGACATAGCGGAAATCAAGCCCACGTAATATTTCATCCATAAAACGTTGAAATGTCTGTGCCTCGTTTGGCAGTCCGAATGTCATGTAGGGAAATTCGTATGGCCCGAAAGGTGTTGTTATTGCTGTTTTTGCTATGTCTTCTGTGGCTACCGGAATCTGATTATACGCACGCAATAAGTCTAATGTAGAAAAAATGCACCTACCACTTAATGATTGCGCGAAATCATCAATATGTGGAACCGGATACCGATCGGGTAGCGTACGTGCATTCAGGGCTCGGTAATCCCCACAGGATCGCCACTCCGAATTTTTCTTAGGTACCATGTGCAGCGGTGATGACCAATTGCTATTCGATGTTCCCATAAGCCCCATTTGAATCATTGTCTGAAATTCCTTCTTTGCAATTTTTAGCTTATCAGGAGCGAGGCGTCGCGCGTCGTGGTTTCGAAGCTATTGGAGGTCCTGCAGTTGTCCTAATATGATGACAGGTTGAATGTTTACTTTCAACGGATAGCCCTGCTGGTCGCGTGATTTCTGGAAATTGCAAAAGTAGCGCGTCCCTATGACAGCTTTTATTTCGGGAACCGGACCTGTTACAGGTTGCCCGTTTGCAGTCAGTGACGTGGTATTGTCCACAAGACGCCGGTTACGAATGTCCACTAACAAATTAAAATGTTTTAGAAAATCGACACGGATGATGGGCTTTGATACATCCGCGATTACAAAACGCCAAACGAATAATCGGCGCAAACCTAGGTTTAAAGTTAATGTAATATAACCATAAGTAGATATTACCGTATTGTTAGCTGCAAAGAGTTCATAGGTAGATATTATACATGGTCCCCGGATACGCGAACGCGGGTAAACGCAAAGGTCAGCACCCGTGTCCATTAGAAAAGTGGCTTTACTTTTAAAGTCTGTGATAAATAAGCGGCGCGTACGGGGACAGAAATCGTCAGCCGCCATCAACGACTGCCCTGTTCGTTTTCCGACACATATGTACACGGAGGTTCGCACTTTTTGGCTTTTTCACCGAAACATGAATGGTATCAATAATAGTTATTATTTCTGCTCCTACTTTTACTCCTAGAAAGCGAACGAGATTGGTAATTATTGTTGTTAGACTTACCAGCACTATTTGTTGATGTAGACATCGCGGAAATTTGTGTACATACTAAGTTGCTCCAGAAGAGTTTCCAATCGGCTGGAAAATCCGGTTGCTTCAGCCACATGTTGCCGCGACACCGTTTCAGCTACCGTGTCAGCGAGTTCTGCTACTGTAGCTAGGTCAGCTTTTGACTGCGTTGCCAAAATAGCTTGCATAGAAGCTGGTAGGCGACTAGTCCATAAGGAACGCACAATATTGTCCGGCACAACGGCACCCGCGAGAATTTGGAGATGGCGTAAAAACTGAGACGGTTTCCTGTCGCCCATCTCTTCATGCTCGAGTAATTTGCGCGTTTTTTGTTCTTGTGAGGCATTTAACCGTTTTATTAATTCTGTTTTTAACGTATCGTATTTGTCTGTTACCGGCGGTCTTGTTAGAATATCGCGCACTTCTGTTGCATATTTGGCATCCAAGTTACCTGCTACATAGCTAAATTTAGTAGTGTCTGTAGTAATGCCCGCGACAGAAAATTGATTTTCTATTTGAGCGAACCACAGTTCCGGGTCCGCTGCCCAAAACGGTGGGATACGGACGGAAACACGATCTAATGTAGTATTTATTGTTTGTTTCGTTTGGCGGCATTGTCGCGAAAAGTAAAAAAAAAACTTCACGAACCAGTAACTGTACTTTTCCGCACTTTTTTTGCTTACAAAACACTCTTCGATCACTACTTTTTTTTTCGCGGGTTCACCAATTTGTAGTGGTTGGTGAGGAGTTGTAATAAAATACAAGTACGAATTTAATTAATATATCGATGGTCAGTTTCCATATGTGGCTATCTACAAAATCTTAATTGTCCAGAAAACACAAAAGTAAGTTTAAAACACTCCATCAAATCAGGTTTTATAAATAGCTCATTTATTTAAAAACCTTGTCTTAGTTTATACAGTTCTTAATTGTTTTAGAGAAATTTTGACTTATTACGGTAATCCAGGACTTGTTATGAAACAAATTAAACAAAAAAAGTACAGTTAGCCATTTTTGACACCAATATATTTTCTCAAAATCGTAGTAATACAAAGAAACCTAAAACTAAAAACAAGAGCCGGCAAACTTGTAGTTTGGGCGGGTTCTAAAACGTATGTCTACACTAATTTGGTATGAGGTTATGTGAAGCTTTTCGGTTTAATTTGAGCTGTGTCCAGGCCGTAGGAGTCTATGCCGGTTGGCATAGCCAGGTATGGGTTGATATTTTCTTTTGGCGGCTTCTGTCAGAACAAGTGGGAGCAGCAATAAGCATTGACATACGTTTTAGTATCCACCCAAACTACAAATCGGCCCCAGAGCCTAATTCATTAAAAGTCCCATTTATTGTGAAAAAAAGTTCTCTTCTTCAGGGTCATTAACGTCTGGCACCACAGTTTCATCCTGAATGCCTTCTTCAGCTAACAAATTAGTAAAAAAGAGTCGACAGTCTTCCGGTACGCTGCCAGAATTGCAAATCTCTTTTAAATGCTTCAACTTCAATGCAGAAATTGGTTTCTTTTCTGTGTGTAATGGTTTGAGACAAGCTTCCATCGAACCAACTGTAACTCGCCGTCCTCTACGTGGGAGAATCATAATGCTGCGAAAATCTTCATCGAGGTCCGTTTTTATTTTCATTTCAAACGGGGATTCCTTCTCATATCTTATCCACTTAATATGGTGCCAGTTTACAACATTACCATCAGCGTCCTTATTTCGGTTTACCATAATTAGTTTTGCCAGAGTTTTCCAGTCAAGGAAGCCGATATCAGCTTTCTGAAAAACTTGGTACTTGGGATTATTTTGTTTTGCTCTTTGAGCAATTGATACCCATTCGTGGGGTAAATATACAGGTACATTTTTTGCTACTGTTTCGATTCTTGCATGCATAGAATCACATTCCATCTGACTGTGGCCAGAAACTAGAAATTTTTGATCAATTATGTTAATCTGTAAAACTTGCACTGCATAAATAAACATGGCAGCCACAAATTGGTTTTTATTTTGGCCTCCACATGTGTCGCTAAATAGCCTTACATTTTCGATACTAGCAGGAAGGCTTTTTAAGTGATGAAATAAACAAGACGCTATTTCACATGGGCCACGTGAGCCTTCTACCTCAGACCACATGTAACATTTACCAATATTGTTTCCACAGTTAAAAATAGTAAAATTATATGTGGCTAGCTTGGTCTTGTAAAAAAGGATGGGGTTTGTAGGATCTGTGGGTACATACAATACCTGTTGCAAGTCAAAGTTAGCAGAATGTATTTTTTCAGGCGTTTCTTTCGCTTCAGCCTTGTCCAAGTTTTTTTCGTTTCTGGCCCTCTCTTTATTTTTTATGTGAAAGTTGTATTGTTCAAGCATGCTCGCCTTGCTTTCAGCATTGGCAGCCTCATACGATGTACATGTTGGACATTGATCCTTTCTGGGCTTATGGAATGATAAGCTAAAATGTGTTCTAAAAATATGACGATAGTAAGATTCTTTTAGGTATTCCTTGTTTTCTTTTGTACATTCCTCTTTGTATAACCTGTACATCTGCTTTATATTTAATTTCGGATCCAAATACATTTTTCTAGAATCTTTCCTACAGTAATGAGAAGCGACTGTCGGAAACTTTTTTATATGCTGTTTTAAAAAGTCTAGTGCCGCATCTGGTATTTTTGTAGTGCCATAACCTCCTCTCTTATCTTTTTCAGTAATATTACTGGGTAGAATGCGTTTTTTTATGGCGAAGTTAAGAAATCCCTTTTTAATACCTAGGGTATTAAGCAGCATTGTCCTACATACATTTATTCTAGAGTCTTTAATCTTTAGGTAAAATTTCATGGATTTGAATCTTCTTAAGTTATTTGGCGTTGCAGTTGTTCTTCGTTTACAATCTGTAACCTCAACTGAATTATTAACGAAATCTCGCTGTCTGTCAATATTTGAAAGATTCCAGTATGATATAAAAATATTAGTCCTTTCTTCCTGTCTAATTCGAGTACTACACTTAATCCTATAATAAAAATAAAAAATATAAGGACCTCCTCTAAATTACATATGTTAAAATCTTATTCCTACCTACAAGAATTATTGCATGGTTCACCTAAAAACCTGCCTGGGACGTGATGTCCTTTTGAGTTGATATAAGGATCTCCAGCATTTTTCTTGTTTTTGCGAACATTTTTTTTCCACGAATTCTTTTGATGTATTTCCTCGCCATCGTTGGTAACTGGAAAAGTATTTTCCTCTGGCGTAGTACCCGTGTTCATGGCTAACCTATGGCCAGGATCGCTATTTTCTTAAAAAAAAAAACTTGATTTCTGAAATAGTTAATGCATTATTATCAACTAACCTGGGCTGCTGGGATCTGGAATGTAATCTGTATATTTAACAGAATCATCTGAATCTGGAAGGTAGTCCGCATCTTTAACAGAGTCGTCTGAATCAAATAATGGTTCCTGAACAATTGTTTCTAAAAACATTAAATTAAATAATATAATTAATAAATTTGAAAATTATATAAAATTTTCAAATTATTCCTGTATAAATAATTTAAAGTTAAATATTCTTAATAAGTTCACCCACATTGCGATTGCTTATTTATACTGTGAACAAAATTTAGACAGTATGTTGGTAATTTATTTTTGTATTAATAAAAGGAAACAGCAAAAACCATAAAATTATTCATTAACTTGGCTCGCAACGCTGCCTGAATTTGAGTCCTTAAAATACTACTTGGGTACTATAAACTATTTAGGACTAACATACCTTCAATCTGTTGCAAATTATTTTCAAAAGATGTTTCACTGGAGCAGCTAGGTACCATACCTAATATTTTCTTGCCCCTGGAGGTCATATTGCATAAAAAAGTCGCTATAACCTGTATATTTTCACTTATTAACAACTACGAACCACACACAATAGCGTCCAATACACTACTGCCCTATAAACAACCAAACTTACTTAAATCAGTTCTGACTACTTGTTCGCACAAGTAGCTACCTGCAAAACGCACGAAAATATTATTAATATTTTTTAGTTCCAAAACTAGCTATTTGACTTTAGACACTTATGGAATTAACAAAATTATTTTTTATAGTTCCAGAAGTAGCTATGTGATCTTGAACATATCTGGAACTAATGAAAATATAATTTTAACAGATAGATACTTTGTAACCGACTAATTTTAGCGCCAAATTCAAACGAATCGGTATGGCTGGTTTTGGAACTGACAAAAACTTTCATTTTTAGCCAGACTGTGTAGATAGCTCAAAAATCAGATTTTTGTAGTTAGCCACATTTGGAACCAAACCATCGATATAACACCGAGCGGCAAGTTAGTGGGTAACTCGAATGATAAAGCCTGACTGCCGAAAAATAAAATTTTACAATTATTATCCTACATACAATAGAAAAAGGTCTATTATCCTCTATATACCTGGGTCGGCGTCGAAGATAATTTATTCTTAATTTCCAAAACTAAATAACCCAATAACACAACAAATGTTCGATGGGTTTTTACGATTGAGCTTTTAAACCTAAATTATAATATTTCTACTGGGTGTGATAATGTGTCATGCCACCACAATCCGAAATAATGAAAAGTATTTAAAGGCATGCAGTTACAACTAGCCACTGTGTCCAATTTAAATGTTACATTATTATTATTATTATTAATTATAGAATTTACTGTCCACGATTTACTATTAAACTGTTACTATCAACATTATACAATGCTATATCATCGATGAATGGCATATCAATGGCTTTTACATCATTATTAGTATCTACAATCTCATTTACATTTCTGTTAACGTTACCATAATTATTTTGTGAAAATTTATCAGTTTTAAAATTTGAACTTCTGAACCTGCATCCTACTGCAAAATGATTAGGTTTCTGACAAACTGAGCAAGTTTTCCCGTAAGCTGGACGATTTTGTACATTATGTGATCGACCGTACAATTATTAGTCACTAGTTACGTTGCGAAAAGCCTGTTGATAACCTTTGCTTTCACTTTTTTTACTTGCACCTGTAGATGTTCGTATAAAATCTACTTCTTTCTCACTTCGAAGGTGTTTTGCCTGTAGTTGACTTGCCTCTGCAGAGAGACATGCTTCTTCCGCTAGTTTTCTTATTAATCCTGTTTTTTGGAGCATTCGTTTGAAGTACTAAATTTAATGTCCCTTACCAATGAATCCTATATGGTCCCAAAATTACACACTGAGGCTAATACTTTTATCTCAGTTATAAAGTGTTCGCTGTCTCACCTGCTTGTTGAGTACGAGTGAAGAATTTATATCGTATATTTCATTTCTCATTGGTTTACAATGATCTTTAAATGTTTTTATCATTTTATTATAATCTGTAGAACTAATTTATTGAAAGAAATAAGTACATACAATACAATTAATAAATAATAAATTCACTTACATAACAAGCAAGTAGAATATTATAACAACGTGGACCGGGACTCGGAAGTACGTTGCATTCAACAAGCTGAAGCTACCCTGGACATCCTTTCGTCGTGGCTTTGTGGACAGCAGTTACGATCCATACGATGGTTCCAAGTCTCGCCCTCTAGTAGTAAGGTTGCCAATTACTGGTCGGCCGGATTTGTAATGGTGGTGGCAGGTGTAAAAGGGGCGAACGTTACAAGTAAATATCTGCTACAGTCTCCCCCTCTGACGTCGAGGTCCTCCCGATGAGGCGTCAGAAATGGTGGCAGATGAAACGGGTTTCCGGGGTCTCCCTCTTTTCTTAATTTCCCTTATCGGTTTGGGTGTAAGAGTAACATTTGGATCCTCGGATGCTTGGTAGGGAGTTAAATCACTAGTGTGATACACGCCCAATGGTATTGCGGTGTAGCAGGGTTCGGCGATTTCATAACTAGTGGGCCCATGCTTACGAAGGACAATATAGGGACCGTCTCGGCGAGGTGCCAATTTTGCTGAGTATCCTTTCACCGCATTACTCAGAAAGTGGGATTTGATCCAGACCTTGTCTCCAGGGGAATAACTTGGCCCCGGGCGCCTACTTTCGTTGACGTAGCTCTGATTTCGATCTTGCCTTGACTCTGTTAATTCTCGGGCTAAGCGTAGTGAATTTGCCAAGTCCTTTAGCCTGGGTGTAATCTCTGGGACAAAATTCTTGTTTTGTACAATGGTACTGAGGTCGTCAGTTACATCTTGGACGGTTCTCAGTTCTCAGGTTAAGTATGAGGAAGTACATCCCGTACTTTCACAGCGCGCCGTATTAATGGCAAATCGTATGGAACTTAGACGTTTAGACCAGGTGTGGTGCTCTCGGCCTACTAAAATTCCCAATTGTGTTTTGAGGTCGCGATTCTTTCGTTCCACTGGGTTAGCTTCGGCGTGATAAACGGGAATAAACGCTTGTTTTATTCCCAAGCAGTATGTTAGTTTCTGCATTACGGCGGACACAAACTGGGTGTCGTTATCGCTTATGAGTCTACGAGGCAACCCGTATCTAAGAAATATCTCGTCTATTAATAGTCTTGCACAAGTTTCGGCGGAGGCTTCCTCTAGTGCAAATAATTCAACCCAACGGCTGGTAGTGTCTTCAACAATGTAGATCCATTTTTTCCCATCTTCACTTACAGGTAGTGGCCCGAAAAGGTCAATGGCTATTACCTCAAATCGTTGATTACTTGGCGTCGTCTGTAAAAGTCCCGCTGGTTTTCTATTTGCAACCTTGTATCTTTGACAGTCTAGACAGCTGCCAATGTGCTTGGTGATATCTTGCCGCATTCCCAACCAAAAGTAACGTTTTGATATGCGGTGTAAGGTTCTATCTACGCCATAGTGTCCGGCGGTAGGTGCATCGTGGTAGGCTTGTAATATCGGGAGTCTCTCCACCTTAGGTACAACTAGCTTTGCATCATCATACTCTTGATCCTGGGCGTATCTGTATAAAACTCCCATGTGAAGAAGATAATCTCGAGTATGCCACTTTTTGTTAGACTCGTCATTACCAGTATCTTCTAGTGCTTTAATGACTAGTTCTAATTCTGGATCATCCAGTTGTTTCTGTCGCATCTCTTTCTCGCTTTTCTTTGGAATGTCAAACTGGACGTTGCATAACTGACAATTTTCGTTGTGAGCTTGGCACGGAGGTCTCGATAAAAAATCAGCCACTACGTTCGTCTTGCCTGGAGCGTAGCGAATTTGTAGGTCATAGGGTTGAAGCTGCAGTGCCCATCTTGCTAGGCGACCTGTGGGCGTCTTCAAACTCATTAACCACTTTAAAGGTTGGTGATCTGTTACCAAAATCGTCGCTGAACCTTCTATATACCCTCGAAATGTATTCACTGCATATACGAGCGCCAAGGCTTCGCGCTCTGTAGTGGTTTAATTCTTTTTTTCAGGTGTTAGTAGTCGGATACTGTACTCGATAGGGTGCTCATCTTCCCCCTCCCCCTGGACCAAAATCGCTCCTAGAGCGTAGGCGCTGGCATCTGTTTTGATAGTAAAAGGGTGAGTAATATCAGCTTGCTTCAGTATTGGTGGCTTTATGAGACATACTTTAAGTGTAGTAAAGGCTTGCTGTTCCTCTGATCCCACTTCCATACTGCTTTTTTATTAGCTAGATTGGTAAGTGGTCTCGCGATAAGGGCGAAATTTGGTACAAAACGTCTATACCATGAGTCTGAACGAAGACTAATAGTTGCTTAATATTTATTGAAGCTGGTACAGATGTTATAGCCGACGTCTTCTCAGGGTCTACATGTATACCATCCGTTGTAATAAGGTGTCCAAGATATTTCACTCGAGCGCACCCAAAGTTATCAGACACCTTCAGTGGATTATCTGCAAAATGCCAAGCTCTTTGGAGAAGGTTTAGTGTAATTGCAGCTTTTTCTAGGAAATCTATTCCTAAGACAGTGCGATTGTCGTCCGCATCCGGGAGTATGACAAAATCTATTTGAAAGTTACGGCCTCCAATCTCAATCTGGGTTGTAGTAAATAAAACCTTTTTTGGTCGCCGTTGACCATCTGCAAGCGTAACGTCTACTAGTTGTGCCTTAAAATTGCAGGATTTTTGATCTCTTAAATATTCGTACAACGTGGCACCTGCTACGCTGGTTCTAGCCGCTGTGTCTATGTGCGCTAAGCCCTGGACACCACATATACTGACCGGTATTGTGGGTACCTGCGTCGTGAACTGAGTGAGTGTATTAACAGAATAAAAATGGACTGTGTGCAGACACATCAGAATGTTGCTTTAGTGCAGGTAGTGTTTCTTTGGGTTGTGAATTTGACTCTTTGGCTAGGCGTTTTCTGCATTCATTGGCAGGGTAACCACGAAAATGACAGAAACTGCATCGAACTGACTTCGATTTATCGGTTTTTTGTTTTACATGTCCGAGTTTGGATGCGACTGTTTCTTCGTACTGTATATTCTCTATTTTTCTAACTTCTTCCAATAGTTGGTCTAAGGTATTTATTTTTTCTCTAGGAACATGCTTGCGAATATGAACTGTCAGCAGGCCATAAATCATGCCGAGTTTCGTCTCTTCATCATGGCGGTTGGCTGGTAGTTGTGGCAGAAGGGCCCGTTTTTTACAAATGAAATCTTCAATCGGGATGTTCGGTTCTTGTCGTCAGCAAATATCTCTGTGTAAACTTGGAATGCCGATTTGGCAGGAGAGTATGCACTTCTTATCAATCGACTTGCATCTGCCCAGGTAGTTGCTTGGTTTTCCACTCCTCTCCACCACAGGGAAGCATTATCTGTTAACAAGAGCGGGAAACCCTTTAACGCATTTCCGTCATTTATTTTTCAATCTCTTTATATATACTGACGGTTGTAATAGAAGTATCTACTGTGTCGTG